AATATGTATGTAGTTGCCCTTCTAAACACGCCGGCAGATCTTGCATACACTCTCATTTTTTTCCAATACAAATGTAAAAAGTTTCAATGAATATGTTGTCGCTTGCGGCCCATTACGACCAATTCACTGGACACCATGCGAAAGTACACCAAAGTACACTGCACAAGAAATGCGTTTTGTAAGTAAGTAAATTCTAACTAGTGGCTCGATTAAGAGATAACACCGCTTGGAATATAACAATTACTGGACAGCGCGAACGATAGAGCGCGAGAGAAGAGCTTATATGCTACAATTTCAGTAATGAAACGAGAAGGAACGTGTGAGTCGCTTCTGGGGACGCGACTCTACTTATACCCGTACTCAGTCAGTATATACATTTTTGAGCTTTTGATTTTTTAGAATTTTAGAATTAGAAACAAAAAAATTTACATTTTACATGTAGATGTAGAATATAAATGGTACATGTAGAATCTGATTGTTAGATGTATAATATACATTGTAGATGTAGATAACGGATGTAGCAACAAATTTTTAAATCTAAAGTTCTTACAAATCATAAGCTCAAAAATACTGACTGAGTTCAGGTATAAATAGAGTCGCGTCCCCAGAAGCGACTCAGACGTTCCTTCTCTTTTATTTTTAGCTTATACATTCATTGTGTTCCTGCAATGCAAGTCAGAAACTTTTTTATTTTTGAAAATAGCCAGAAAATTTAAATTAGTTTAAGAACAGCAACAAGCATCAGAAAACCAAATTTATCACATACGTTTAAAGACTTGTAGCTACATAACAACATAGCTTAGTCTGAAAAGACTACAAACTACTGATTTTTGTATGGGTTAGGGAATGAAATTCTATATATCATGTATTTCTACTTTACTTTTATTGAAATATGAATAGTTAGAAGCGACAAATGTCTAATTTGTGTGGACCTGCACTTGTGTAAAAATAAAGGTCAACATTTGACCTGAAAAGGTATGCATTCCTCAGATTGGGCACAACGAAAGAAAGTAACTGTCTCCAACATTTAATGCCAAAGGAACAGGTACCAAAAAGTTCCCAATTGGCAGTTCAGCCCGCAACCTTCCAAAAAGTATTTTTTGTCTCTTTTCATGTTTTAAGTTTGATTAACGAATTTTAGCTCCACCGTCTCTCCATAGATTTGAATAAACAATACATAAAACGATGCCTATCTAAAACTAAAAATGCATGCCAAAATATTTTTTTTTTCGACTTTTCCTGAGTTTTTAAAGTCAAAATTTCAGGGAAAAAATACCGCAAAAAAATTATGAAATTTGAATTTGAAAGCTTAATATATTCCAGGCGTTATGGTGCAGATACAAAGTGTCTGGGTCTGATTTATTGCTGAATTTGTCAGCTTTTTAGAACTGAAAAGTTCTATACAACCAGATATAAAATACTTAGTGTATCTAAAAAATAAGAGCACCTCTGAGAAAAAACATGAAAAAAATAAAAGATTTTAAAAATTCTTTAAAAAAAACATAGTACTATACAAATTTTTAAATCCTGAAATCGATCAGAAAAAGTCATTTTGGTCCACAGCGGGAAGAAAAAGTTCAATTTTGTCGAGTAGTGTAATATATAAATCGTAAATAGAAAATTTTCGTTGTATATTGTAATTTGTAAAGTATTTGGCCAGTTCTTTCTTGAGCTCTTACTTGATCTCGGTTCTAGCTCTACTATCCTAAAAGCAGGAAGCAGCAGTACTATGTGAAACCACTTTGCAATCCCGTTAATATGGTTAAGTCACACGGGACCTTCCAGTAGTGTTCATTATATTTTATATTTTCAAACGAATTTGTCATTATTTGATAGGTTTCTTTCATATTAACAGCATGGGCGTATTTACCAGACGGTTTTTGGTTTCCATTGCGTAGAAAAACAACTTTTAAACTTTCCTTTCTGCTGTCAACCTCTTATCTTTTGGGACGTAAGCTTCAGCCAGTTGCTTAAATAGTCCGAAAGTGTCGCGGTAAATGCACATACCATCATCGTCGTATAAAATTGTGCGTAATTGAAATGACGCGTCCAGTATTAAGTATTGTTGACGTTTACTTTCCAAAAACCGTAATGCTTTCAAAAAAAAGGATCGTTTTAGTCTTTAATTGAATCCGTTGTTCCATGCGACGAAGAAAATATATCTGCTTCTCATTTTTGAGGCGGTATTTCCTCTGAAGTAGCAGCAGGAAGGGTAAAGCCAGACTGTTTCCACTTTCATGTGTTTGCCAAATCCAATTTTTTTTAACACACACAGAGAAACATTCAGTGCCCTGAATCACTGTTCATCACTTATTATAATCATACTATTATTTGTAAACTTGATAGTTTGTGGATAGGCGCAACTTATTTTTCGTATTTATTAAATGGTGTTAAATTCAATTTACACAATTTGCACGTATATTCAGAAAAACTTTCCGGTTTGATTTCAAAAACTACTTTATACTCTTTTTGGAAATTTGTGGAAAAAACGAATTTTGATTCATTTCCAATAATGAAGCAAAACAAGTCTGCTTGGTAAACACATCAAATGAACAGAAACTGATCCCATTTTGGCAGTTGGACCTGAAAGCTTCAAAGCGCTATTTTCAAAAATTTTGTATACCCGTACTCGAAGAGTTAAGAGTTATATTGTATTTGTGGTAAAAGTGGATGTGTGCAACGCAGAGATGGAAACGTTTCCGACACCATAAAGTATATACATATATTCTTGATCAGCATAAAGAGATAAGTCGATATGGCCATGTCTGTCTGTCCGTCCGTGCGTCCATCTGTCCGTCTTGATGAGCGCGTAGTTCTCAGAGACTATAAGAGCTATCACACTGCTACAAGTTTATTTCAGAATTTCGCCAACGCCCCCTTTCGACCACACAAAGGACACTGTAACGAACCATGGATCCCATGGTTCGTCACAAGCAGACGACGCAGCCAGCGCTACTCCCAGGTGAAGCGATCAACACCCAGCAAAAATGCAAACTCAGCACACGCCAAAAGACAGGAGACCAGCACAAGGGGCTTACGCAATAAGTACCTAAAATAATATTAAATAAATAAATATTCCTAACAATATATATTCCCGAAGTGCCAACGAAATTCCTTTCCCACGGTACCGGTGCACACCGATCACCTTACCTGGGACATTGGACACTTGTTAGGAGGCGATTGCTTAGGTAACCTTCGGTTACCGGGCAAACCCCTCACATCTCCGACTTTCCTTACCGGGAATATTGGACACTGACTGCAGGGCTAATTATTAGGTAACCTTCTGCAGTCCACCAGTCATCGTAGGAGGCAGTCAATCAGCCATCGCAGGCAGGAAGTCCACCAGCCATCGTAGGAGGCAGTCAATCTGCCATCGCAGGCAGGCAGTCCACCAGCCATCGTAGGAGGCAGTCCACCAGCCATCGTAGGGAGAGAGTCCACCAGCCGTAGCAGTCAGGAAAATAACAAACACGCAAGTCAAACCAAATAAAGAACAAATAAAAATAACATAATAGATAACATAACGGGGTAGAATAATAATACGGAAGAGTAAAGATATCTGTTAAAAGTCAAGTAACCAAGAGTGTTGTGATTTCGCTAACCCATTTTTAGTTGCTGGCAAAGTTCCTGGTTTCCCCAAATAAAGTCCAGCGAATGATAAATAACTTGTAATTCAGGACCCTGGACAGACTGAAGCATACCTCAGCCTGAGATAGGACATTACAACACAAAGGAAAATATGTGGCATCCACAATAGAGATACAAGAAAACTAGAAAAGCAGTATCGTAGACAATGACCATATATACAAGATTGCCGAATCTGGATCAGATCGAATTTTCAGTTGCTTCATCCAGCACGAGACCACGCTACTCATTCTCTTTCTCGCTGGTACACACTCTGCCCTGTCCTGTGTGGATTCCATAGATTTTCGTCCTTTGTGGGGGCGGGGCGAAAATTTGTAAATACACTTGTTGCAGTGTAAAAATTGCCATTAGGTATTTTTAAAGCCCCAAATCTATCAAAAAAAGTTTGTTTTTACGAAGCGGAAAAATGGTTTCTAATATGTAATCCGATCTGATCCAGATTTGACAATCTGATAGATATGGTCATTCTTATTTTACACAATTTGTGTAATGAGTGTTGGAGGAGGTAAAAATGTAACTATGGACTACGAGACATTTGGATCCGAGGTCGCATCCCCCCCCAGGGTGGGATTTCGTATTTTATTGTTATCATTTTGGAACGTGATCACAGAATTTTAGTTTAGGTCCTTTGACAGTCGCTTGAAGTATCCTCCTTAGCCTTTTGCAAAGTAAATTTTTCATAATAGTTACAATACAGCGATACTCAGACGATTATATAACCACGAATATCGTGAACACCTAATGGAGGGTTCTTCAACATAAAATTGTTTACTAAAACTACTGCTTTAATGCAAAACTTTAAACTCAGTTTTCACGAAAGGTGAGTTTGGTCGATAGCACACATTTTACTCAGAGGCGAGGTCACACACATATATGCACATATATGTATGTGTGGTAATACGAGTATATGCAGACGGAATTGATTTCATCTCTTCGTCTCAAATTTCTGGTCGAGATCATAATACCCTTTACTGAAAAAGGCAACACAGCTCGAAGTAGCAGAGCCGAGCGCATTCATACATGCATCATTTATACATTCTAAATGTAATTATTCCGATAAAAACTAGACCTTTTTTATTCATATTTTTTTCAGACTCGCTGGAATCTGTATATAGCATAGAAAACTGAATTTAAAATGCGAAGCGCTGACGGTGTGGCAAGGAAATGTGTCTGCTTTTCAATGTGCGCGGTGTGTGTTGAGTGAGAGAATATTAAGAGCGAATTTTTGAGGGCTGTGTCGGTCTCAGACTCTCCGAAAAAACTGAAGAGCAATAGTAACAGCGATGCCAGCATCGTTTTTTCTCTCTTTCTGCGTCTGCGTCCTGCAGCTAGGATAGCGACTGTCGTTAACAATCGCAAGTCGTCAGACGTATGAGAGAGCTTAAGAACGTTGTTTGCCATCACGGAACGTGGTAACGAGACCGGGGACGACCGACGGAAAAAGCAACCATAAGAGGGGTAAAAAAATACAGTTGGAAGTATAAATCAAGAAATGCCTAAACTCAAGCCGCTGAAAAAAATTTAAACCGAATTTTTAGTCAAAGCAAAAAAAAAAACAGAGTGTAATGCTCCCGCACCAAACTAAACTTTACGACAACGCAAAAAAACGCATTGTTTACGTAAATGCTGCTCTGCTAACGGATAGCTGGAAGCCATTATGTGAAATGAAATACGGTGTATAAGTCTTTCCTCGCCTTAATAAATTCGCATCAAAAATTCGATCAACCGACTCACCAATCGACCAGCAATCGGCTATGAAACTTTTTATTCAATACAAAGAATAAATAGAAGAGATGAGAATAATAATCAAAAAGTAAAGTAATCAAGAGCGAAAAATATATTTTGGAGAATTTTTTGAATATTTTTTTACTGTTTGCCCAACTAAGAAACAGAGTGTGTTCATGAAGCAGTTCAGCAAAATTTTGCAAATAGTATATTAGAATAATTCATTATCAATTAAAATCTAATTCGGAATAAATATTGACAGAATTGAGGAACCTAAGCTGCCTATGCAAATGTAAGTAAAATAGCTATACAAACACACTCACTACCACACCAACCCACCAACTCTCAACGTATAAATAAAATAAATTATTTTGATAAAATTCGAATGTATGTATGTATCTACATAAATTCCGAACACATACAAATGTCGTTTGTATCTTATGTCTAAGGTCAAAAAATAGAAATGCATATTTTTAGGTATCAAAAACATATTTAAATTTAAATTGCAAAATTTATAGAAAATTTATTCGTATGTGAATTTAATCGCAACATAGGAGAAATAAACATAAATAGCCATTACTGCATCCATTTAAATATACGTAAATATATATATATATATGCAGTTTTCCTTTCATCCATAAGCATGCGTACATATGAGTGTATGTACATGGTAGAGCATACATAGTCGTTACATAGATATATGTGAGCGCCAGGACATACTAATTTCACCATTACAGTGTTGTCAACTTATGGGTGACCCGCAACGACAGAACGAGGCGCGGCAGGCTGCGCATGACCACGGGACAAGTTCGATACACAGGAATAGATTCTTTAACGAATTTGGATTTTCCATGTATGTGTATGTATGTATGTACATATACTGGACGAGGTTCCCCGACAGAGATTCGAATGTATTAATTCTCTCGGATCGATTGTCTTCGAGTATCGAGCTCTACTTTTTTTTTCACCGCTTTAGTCACTTTTCCACAAGTTTCATGAGTCTGAGCATGCGTCAGCGTTGACGTCGGCGCAATCAGTCCATGCAACCACTTACGCTTTGGTTATCGCTGTGGCACCAGCTTCATTTTTTTAAACTGCGCCGTCAAGAGCGCAGAATATGCTCATGTACACGTTCATCCCTCTTTTCTCTTTAACCAGTGAAGCTCCCGTCTTTGCTCTCTTTTCGAGCCCTGTTTGAGCCTAGTCCCATACACCACCTAGCGCCAGGCCGGTAATTTATACATATGTACAAATGTATTTATGTATGTAGAATCTACATTGTAGAGATATAGCAAGGAATTAAATCTGATAGAAGTTTACAATATTTAAATGAGTTATTCTTGACTAATGGTTCTATTCAGATAGGTTTTTTTCTGGACAGAAAGTTTATAGACACTTCTGTATTAGTCCTTTTGCACATTTCTTATTTCCTATGTTGGCAAAAACAAAATTAGTAATATTAATATGTGCTTATTTGCTTTAATGGGGTTTAATTTATATGCATGTATAATTTTTACATATGTACATTAGGGCGGCGCTTATTTTCGAAATTTCTGAATTTAAAAGGTCTCAGGGTCTTAAAATGTTCCTTTTGTTATGAAACAATAAAATAAAAAGTTTAAGCCCGATTGGAATACGTTTAGAGGTGCAGACTTGAGGTCAAAGTTAAAAAAATACGATATTTTGGCAATGTTTGTATGGAAGCTATACCTTATATCGCTCTGATCGGACTGATTCTTTTTATGATTTAAAATATGATAATATAACTCTTCTCCAAAAATTTCAACTCAATTGGTTAATATTTAATTTTTGAATTTTTTTCTTTCGCCGGGTCGTTGCAAAAGCGTTACAAACATGTGATACTAAAAATCATTTTTTTAAGTATATGACCATGAAATAATAAACTTAGTATAGACTTTCGTTTTAAAATGATTTAGCAACAAAAAGAAATAAAAACGAGAAGGAACGTGTGAGTCGCTTCTGGGGACGCGACTCTACTTATACCCGTACTCAGTCAGCATATACATTTTTAAGCATATAATTATTTAGAACTTAAAAAAAAAAAGAAATTTTACATTTTTTTGCTACATCTGTTATCTACATCTACATATACTATTTATATTATACATCTAACATGTATATTCTACATGTACCATTTAGATTCTACATCTCCTCCGCTAGGGGTTGCTCGCGCACTGAACGCGGCAGAGTGTGCGAGCGAGAAGGAAAATGAGTTGCGTTGTCGTTTTCAGGAGGAGTGGGCAGGGGAAGGAACAGAAAATTAATTTCTTCATTCTGGCTATAATTATGATCCGATCTAGTTCAGATTTGGCAATCTGGTAGATATGGGCATTCTCAACGATACTGCGTTTTTAGTTTTATCGTATCTTTAAAATTGTGCCTGCCACAGATTTTCGTTCTTTGTGTGGGCGGAAGAGGGCGGGGCGAAATTCTGAAATACACTTGTAGCAGTGTGATATCACATAAGTCTGGAAACCAAATTTGGTTTCTCTAGCTCTTATAGTCTCTGAGATCCAGGCGCTCATCGAGACGGACAGACGGACAGACGGACGGACGGACGGACGGACGGACAGACAGACATGGCTATATCGACTCGGCTATTGATGCTGATCAAGAATATATATACTTTATGGGGTCGGAAAATTTTCCTTCTCTGCGTTACACACATCCACTTTTACCACAAATCTAATATACCCCTTAACTCTTTTTTGAGTACGGGTATAATTAAAGGAATAGGATAACATTTGCCAAAACCACCGGCTAGAGAAGTCACAAATGCATGAAATATCCGGGAGCGGCTGTTTTTTGGCGCTAGGTGTACAAATTTCGTGCTTTAACTATTTTTTGTGGGCTTAATTATTAACCAGTATCGTAGAGAATGACCATATCTACCAGATTGCCGAATCTGAATCAGATTGGATCATAATTATAGCCAGATTGAAGAAATTAATTTCAGTTGCTTCCCCCGCCTCATCCAGCAAGAGTCCAAGCTACTCATTCTCTTTCTCTCTCGCACACTCTGCCTCGTTCAGTGCGCGAGTGCCCCGCAGAATCTTAATAGTACATGTATAATCTACATGTTAGATGTATAATTTACATTGCAGATGTAGATGTAGAGAACAGATGTAGCGTTAAATCCTACATAGTACGGGTATAAAAGTAGAGTCGCGTCCCCAGAAGCGACTCACACTCACACGTTCCTTCTCGTTTTTTGTTATTTTACTTTTAATTGTTTAACAATCAAATAAATCTTCGCAGATGGCAAAAGCACTGAAAAACAAAACAGATATATCAATAAAATTAAAAGCGATCCACAGAAGTTAAAAGAATTTCCCAAAAAAGCAGCTGACAGAATGAAAACTTTATATTCTTGTTAGAAATGTTATTACATACATAAAATGGAGTAATAAGTCGTTTTTAAGGAAAACGTGAGGTGATAAAAATAAAAATACATATGAAAAAATCGTACGTTCAGGACCTGTTCTTAATTCAATTAAAAAAAAAAAATGGAGATACTTTTTCGTGGATATACTTTATAGAAAGCTACATTAATTCTCTTTAAATTCGCTTTAGAATATTCCATTCCAATTTGAAGATTTTTAGCATTTTACTAGATTAAGTGAACGTTGACTTACATATATTTTTCGTACGTTCGCGACCGCATGTTTTTTGCAATTATTATTAAAACTAAAACTTAATGGACCCCATGATTTGCACTTAGCATAGAGCTAACAAAATGCTATTGAAACGCAAAAAACGAGAAGGAACGTGTGAGTTGCTCCTGGGGACGCGAATCCACTTTTATACCCGTACTCAGTCAGTACATACATTTGTGAGCTTATGATTTATATAGAATTTTTAAATATATTACATTTTAGATTTTTTTGCTACATCTGTTATCTACATCTTCAATGTATATTATACATCTAACATGTAGATTATAATTGTACAATTTATATTCTACATCTTCTCCGCAAGCGTGCGCTCGCGCACTGAACGCGGCAGAGTGTGCGAGTGAGAAAGAGATAGGTCGCGGGTCTCTTGCAGGAGGGGGCGGAAGAACCAACAGAAAATTAATTTCTTCATTCTGGCTATAATTATGATCCGATCTAATTCAGGTTCGGCAATCTGGTAGATATGGTAATTCTCTACGATACTGCGTTTTTAGTTTTATCGTATCCTTAAAAATGTGCCTGAAACAGATTTTCGTCGTTTGTGTGGGCGGAAGGGGGCGGGGCGAAATTTTGAAATACACTTGTAGCAGTGGGATATCACATGAGTCTGGAAACAAAATTTAGCTGCTCTACCTTTTATAGTCTCTGAGATCTAGGCGCTCATCAAGACGGACAGACAGACGGACATGGCTTTATCGACTCGGCTATTGATGCTGATAAAAAATAAATATATACTTTATGGGGTCGGAAACGTTTCCTTCTCTGCGTTGCACACATCCACTTTTACAAAAAATCTAATATACCCCTTAAATCTTTTTGAGTACGGGTATAAAAAAAAAAAATTATTGAAGTGTGCTTGGGCGACCCTATAACAACTTCGAGCCGGTTACTTTTTGAAATGGACTAGCTAGCGAGATAGAAGGGTTCGGAACTTCTTGATATCTCCAGCTGAATATTATAGGGCATATTGTTTACCGACTTAGTAAATTTGAAATTAGTTTTCTTAACATTAATAAATAACATTTAAATAAATTTCTTGAAACCACTTGATTCATGGGTATAAAATGGTAAACAATAATGGTGATGGTGGGGAGGAACTTAGAGAGATTTGTTTATTTGTTCCAGATGTTTGAAGTACACTATAGGAAGCACCTCCGACCATTTACATATATACATACATATTTATAATCTTAGCCATGTCGATGAGATATGTACGTTTATTTGCCTATAATTGTAGGTCGGTCTGTCTGTCTGACTGAGTTTTCGAACCTCTGTCAATATGTACATATGTATATATGTTTACTTGTAGAAACAAGTCCCCCAGGCTTGAAGTTATCTGTCTAAAACTGTGCTGAAGGGTCTGTCTTCGGATTAATGCGCGTATAAATCAGAAAAAACTTACTTCGGGTGATCAAATATCTTCGTCACGATTAAATGGCAGGCCAAAATTTAATATAGGCTTCTAAGAAATATATATATTACATAGAGTAAATGTTACATACAGTTATTTAAATAAAGTATACCCATGTATTGCACGAGTACATGGTAGAAGCAAATGCTTTATAGTCCCCCTAGAGCTGCACGTACAGCCAGTCATCGGCCAATCCATTCCATTGTAAGCCCCACAAATGAATATTAATTGTATAATCGGTTGAGTTTATTAATTTGATCTCTGTTGACAATTTCGCTGCCTCCGCATGTTGCCTGTCCATGCTTAATTAGTGCAAATTGACATTGTCAGCGTTGTCATCAGAGACGCTGCATACTGTAGGTGTACAGAGTTCCATCTGAACAGCTGTCTAGCGCCGCATCACTTTTTCTCTTCCAACGCACTATATTTATATAGGATTATATAAACATTAATGTGTTACTGGAGCTGTAAAGCTTTGCAAGTTCTTTCGTAAGTGCTACGTTCATTCCATTTAAACAAAAATGGCTATAGAAATTGATCTTTATCAAAAACTGTGTATAAGAAAATGTTATCTAACTTCTATCGACCAATTTCTGTAATTGAAATTGTATAATTAGTCGCAATATTTTCTTCTTCATTCCGAAACTTGCTAATCTGACATATTTTTTTTCAGGTCGTTTCTATGAAATTGAAAACACCAGATCCAGATACAGATTTCGATCCAACTTGACTCAAACACTTACATATGTCGGGTAAACGTTCCCAATTTGAGCGTTATCAATTTGTATAACCAAAGGTGATAAAACTATCACTGTGATTTAACGGGTTGGATATTATTTTAGGTGGCGATTATGTGTGTTTTATTTACTGTACAGATAACAAAGCTGAATAGGGAGCCAAGAGCTTGATTGAATGAGTGAATCAGTAAGTGCGTAAATGCAATAACTAAGGTGAGGAAACTAAAGAGTGCCTTGCTCAGCGCAATGAAGCTACAATTTCAGCTGTACCCTTATGCATACAAAAGCCTAGACACAGTCTCTGCTACAAACGCAGATAAGCTCATCATCACAGCCATCCACTGCCACACAACCTGACCTACAAAAAAAGTAGAGTTGAGTGTCACCAATGTGCCAATAGCAGAAATAGATTGATATCTAAAATAAAGTGCAACTACAGCAACAAAATCATACTTGAGATATTGAGACGCATAATTACTTTTTGATTGTCTCAAATGTGCCAATTAAAGTTTGGATGCGAGCGACTACCTTTTGGTAAATATCCGTGAGAACGAGAAAAAAAAGGTAGAAAACCCTTAAACAAAACGAGGAGAGGACAACCAAGACTTAGCATTGACGCTAACACAGACGTTGACGTCGACGCCTAATAATTAAAACACATCATTGAAGCTGCATAATGTGGATTGCCATCACCTATTTGATCATTATCATTGCCCAGCTGTGCGCCTTGGCCACATCCGCTGGCGGTAAGTAGCTCCAACTTTTTTTTTTCGATTTTTTCCCCGTTAGGTCTCGCGCACACTCGCGCAGCGTAGATTCAAATCAGCTCAGTCCTGTTTTCAGCCATCACCAGCTTAGAAGATTTCGAATGAGTTGATAGCAATATTTAAATATCAATAAATAAAATAAAATATCAATCTATACTATAAAGTTGTATAAAAAAATCTGTGTGTAGCCAGAGAATGTGGCATGGTTTGCACAAATAAATTTTTACTTTTCTATAAATCTTCATGAATTAAAAATAAATAACAAAAATCTTAAATTTGTTCCAAAAGTGTGTGTTTGAACGCTTATTTCATTTCATTTCTTCGCAACGCGTGCACCAAAGTGCATGAGGCTTTTTTTAAATGATAGCCAGAGTATTTCTATACAAAAGTTTTAACTTTTCTATAAATAGGTTCCTCGAAAATTAAAAGTTAATCAAAAATTCTCAAAATTGTTGGAAAAATGTGTGTTTGAACTATTTCATTTAATTTTTCGTCATTTTATGATAGATTTTTATGCCCGTAGTCAAAAAGGAGTTAAGGGGTATATTCGATTTTTGGTAAAAGTGGATGTGTGCAACGCAGAGAAGGAAACGTTTCCGACCCCATAAAGTAGATATATTCTTGATCAGCATCAATAGCCGAGTCCATATAGCCATGTCCGTCTGTCTGTCCGTCCGTCCGTCTGTCCATCTCGATGAGCGCCTAGATCTCAGAGACTATAAGAACTGGAGCAACCAAATTTGGTTTCAAGACTCACGTGACACTGCTACTAGTGTATTTCTCGCTCGCACACTCTGCCTCATTCAGTGCGCAAGTGCCCGCTAGCGTAGAAGATGAAGAATCTAAATGGTACATGTAGAATCTACATGTTAGATGTGGAATATACATAGCAGATCTAGATAACAGATGTAGCTAAAAATGTAAAATGTAAATTTTTTTTTAATTCTACATAAATCATAAGCTAAACGAGAAGGAACGTGCGAGTCGCTTCTGGGGACGCGACTCTACTTATACCCGAACTCAGTCAGTATATACATTTTTGAGCATATGATTTTTTAGAATTTTAGAATTTAAAAAAAAATGTATATTTTACATTTTTTTGCTACATCTGATATCTACATCTACAATGTATATTCTACATCTAACAAGTAGTTTGTACATGTTCCATTTAGATTCTACATCTCCTCCGCTAGAGCTTGCTCGCGCACTGAACGCGGCAGAGTGTGCGAGCGAGAAAGAGATAGGTCGCGGGTCTCTGGCAGGAGGGGGCGGAAGAACCAACAGAAAATTTATTTCTTCATTCTGGCTATAATTATGATCCGATCTAATTCAGGTTCGGCAATCTGGTAGATATGGGCATTCTCTACGATACTGCGTTTTTAGTTTTATCGTATCCTTAAAAATGTGCCTGCCACAGATTTTCGTCCTTTGTGTGGGGTGGGGTGAAATTTTGAAATACACTTGTAGCAGTTTCATATCACATCAGCCTGGAAAGTTTAGTTGCCCTAGCTCTTATAGTCTCTGAGATCTAGGCGCTCAACAAGACGGACAGACAGACAGACGGACAGACAGACATGGCTATATCGAGTCGGCTATTGCTGCTGATCAAGAATATATATACTTTATGGGGTCGGAACCGTTTCCTTCTCTGCGTTACACACATCCACTTTTACCACAAATCTAATATACCCCTTAACTCTTTTTTGAGTACGGGTATAAAAATGCATGCCAAGAAATATTTTTTTTTCGACTTTTCCCGAGGTTTTAAAGTCAAAATTTCGGGAAAAAAATACCGCAAAAAAATAAGGAATTTGAAAGCTTAATATCTTCCAGGCGTCAAGCTGCAGATACAAAGCGTTTGCGTCTGATTTATAGCTGCATTTGACAGCTTTTCAGAACTGCAAAGGTCTATGCAACCAGATATAAGATACTTAAGTTATGTGAAAAATAAAAGCACTACCTCTGAAAAAAAACATTAAAAAATAATAGATTTTAAAAATTCTTAAAAAAAAACTAAACCATAAAAAAACCATAATTAGCTAAAAAAAATGTAAACCCCGAAATCTATAAGAAAAAGTTGTTTTCGGCCACAGCCTAAATGTCGTGTTGACTAGTGTTATCTGTGTTTCGCTAGTTAAAATTGAGTTAATAATAACATTATATTCCGAACGTGAAACAGACTTGCGCAAGCAAATTGTTAGTGCTTTTATCCAATCCGCTTTGGATCATTGCTCTCTGTGCTCACCGTTCGTGCGCCTTATCCGTAGCATCGCTTATGAACACACGCTCTGGAGAGCATAGTGCAAGCTCTCTTGCTCTCACTATCTCTGCATCTGCATCTTCTTGAATTGCTCTCATGGTGCCTCTGCTTTCGTGAGCTTCACCGTTTGTTTTCGTCACTTCGCTGGATCGTCTGCCGCTGCTGCTGATCGTCGCTCGCTCTGCTGTCTGCTCTCTTATTTCGCTTACGCCCCCACTTTGCGATTTTCTTCGAGCACAGTGATTCAACTGCTGTCAAAAATGGCTGTTGTCTGCAGTGGAAAGAAATGGTGGCAACATAGTCGGCGATTCATTCCTCAGCTTCTGGCTATGCGACAATGTCGCCCATATAAAAGGTGCTGGTGGTGGTAATTTTGGACGGCTACACGATCTCATCTCAATGTTTGGCCTGCCGGGAGATTGAGGCCGAAATGCGCACTTTTATGAGACAGACTCGTACTGGTTTTCAGGATGTCCGGAAGCAATTTATCGCTCTCAACGAGAAGTTCCTGGCCCTGGAAACCCAATTCCTTGGTCTCAAACCCTTGAGTGAATCTCCTAGACGGAAAATCCCACATACCGATATCAACAACCTCCTGCAACCCATTGGAGTTGGAACGCCTGCTTCTCATCTACATACATCGGAATTCTTTGCTACTCGAGCGGTCATGCCCCGCCGTTAGTCACTCCGCCGTCTGTCGCTCCGGATATCAATGATGCAGTTAAATCACTGTCGCAACCGCTGTGAGTGCTCCCAGTGGTGCCGTGCTTGCTGCTGATGATGTCCCGACTGTTCCTGTAACCGTTCCAGTTCCTTCCGTTGCTACCGATGCTAGAGGATGTTAAACAACATCTTTGCTCTAGACTTAACGTCTCGCTTAATGACATAATTGTGACCAAATTCATTTTTAGACATAAGCACAATATTTCCTCCTTTAAGATTCTTCCTGATTCTTTACTATCTAGATCACTTGATCCGTCTATTTGGCCTGAGCATACAATTATGCATGAATTCCTACATAAAGACTCTATCCAGAGTCCCAATATTACTGTCCCAGGTAGTTCAATAAACTAAATAACCTTTTTATCACTCATTACTAGAACGTACGCAGTTTTTTAGGCAAATTGTGTCAAATACATACGAATAGTGCCTCTTTTGACTTTAACGCTGTCGCTTTAACTGAAACCTGGCTTAACTCTTCCGTCTATGATCATGAAATTTTCGTTCCTAAGTTTATCACTTATAGAATGGACCGTCCATCTTTTGCTGGTGGGGTTCTGATTGCTGTTAAAACAGATTTCTCATCTGAGTTGATCCCATTAAACAATATCATTGAATTCATTGTTTGTCAAAGTTTGTGTTGGATCGGTACCGATCTGTTAGACTTGCTCCTACATTCCTCCCAAATCAGAGGCTTCTTCTTAAGGTCTTAAGGTTGCAACGATCATATGATTGTCATGGGTGATTTTAACTTACCACATCTTGGCTGCCTATTGATGAGTCTAACCTGTTGCTACCAAATCACCACAACGATTTTATCGACGGGCTTACCGATGTCTCCCTTGTCCAAATCAATTCAATAAGAAATAGTGGGGACAGACTCCTAGACCTTATGTTTGTTTGTGATGCTGATATAGCTACGGTCTCCAGATTAAGCCCAGTATCACTTCCTGAAGACCCCTACCATCCAACATTAGCTATATTCATTGAGTGTGTCCGATCCAGTTATGCTGCCAATCCCGTGGCACCCAGCCGCATAAACGGTTTTCGGAAAAAAAAATTTATCTGAGCTATGTCTTCACCTCTCGCACGTTAACTGGTCTTTTCTCAACGCGTTACAGAACATTGACGAAACAGTCAATTCGTTCTATGATACTATTAACGACGCCCTAAATATATATGTTCCTGTTATCAAATCTGTTTCGTCAAAACAGGGAGGTTTTCCAAGTTCTCCAAGAATTTGTTTTATTTAAAAAATAGAAAACCGAGGCTCTATAAAAAGTATCAGAATACTGGGCTTATGTCGGTCTTGGCCCAATATTCCTCTGTTCGTTATCAATTCCTTACTGTTAATAGTCTGTTTTATAATCAATACTTTTCTCGGTGTAGTAAAAATGTACTTAGTGATCCAAAAAAATTATATTCGATCGTTAAATCTAAATGTAAGTCCAATGCATTTCCTCCATCCCTTTATTATCAAAACCAATCAGAATCTTCTGCTGCTGGTATTGAAAATTTATTTTCCACCTTCTTCCAATCAACGTACTCGTCACATATCTATCACGCATCCACTCCGTATCCCTACCATTTACCTCATGCCTTTCTGCCTTTTTTTGAGGAAAGTGAGGTTCAAGAAGGTTTGTCAACGATTGACATTTCATTCTCTGCGGGTCCAGACAAGGTACTAAGTTGTATTTTAAAACACTGTGCGCAGTCCTTATGCAAACCCTTGACATATCTTTTCAACCTATCATTGGAACGGTCTTGTCTACCAGTGATTTGGAACGACCCCTACATCATTCCACTTTACAAAAAGGGTTTAAGATCTCACATTAAGAACTACCGAGGTATTGCAAAGCTTTCCGCCATTCCGAAGCTGATTGAGTTCCTTGTTACCAGGCAATTGCAACACCTATGCAGTAGTCTGATATCTCCATCGCAACACGGTTTTTTTTAAACATCGATTAACATCGACAAACCTTATCGAGTTCTCTTCTGC